AATTTTTTACTATGAGATTTGTAGAACACTGGAACAGGTTACCCAGAGAGGTGGTGGATGCTCCATCCCTGGAGACGTTCAAGGCCCGGTTGGATGAGGCCCTGAGCAACCTGATCTAGTTGGAGATATCCCTGTTCCTTGCAGGGGGGTTGGACTAGATGACCTTTGAAAGTCCCTTCCAGCCCTAACGATTCTATGATTCTATGAAAAATTGACTTCAGTAAGAAGCTTCCTGAAGTTTGTTCAGAAATAGTAGTAAAAATGAACTTTCACATTCATTTCTAGTTCTATAAATGATTTAAGCTGTTTAGAAAGTAAAACACTCCTGCATGTTTTAAAGTGTTTTATGTTTTTTTTTTCCTCTTTGCATAGTTCATTCCATTATACTGTTACTGTAACATTAGAATTCTGTTGTAAAAAGAGACTAGGTGTTTCTCATCATATACCAGGCTTTATGGATCTAATTGTTTAAAAAAGACAGATGATCATTAATTTTTCCTTTGAGAGAGGGTGGAAATAACATGACTGAAAAGTGCTTGTGTATAAACTCGTCGTTTTGGTCGGGCTGGCAGGAGGAAGGTGAATGGTGTTTAGTGCAGCTGATGGTTTTGAAGCAGTGATTACTGGGGATCAAAGCAAAATTATCTGGTTTTTTCATGATTAGATTTTCTAGTATAAATAATGTAGATTTGACTGCATGTTCAAGGTAGTTGTAGATAACTGTATGGGAACTGGTATTTTCATGAAGGTGTTTGAGATGTCATTTACCAAGATTATAAATAATTTTTACTTTTTCCAGTGATCCTTTGAATACCTCTTTGCCAATATCCAGTACAGTACAGGAGTCCACGTACACAACCTCTGCCATCACCTCTTCCAGTCTGACCTGCTCATCCCAGAGCACTAGCCCAGTAACAACCACTTCCTCCTATGACCAGACTTCTGTGCATAGTAGGATAGCGTACCAAAGCTCCATGTCTCCGTCTGAATCAACCTCTGTTGCAGTTACGGTGAGTTAATTTCAGAAATAAGACTTTGGAAGAGCTGAAGTGTTCTTAGACTTGGATTATCCTGCTACGTTAATACTTTTAACCAAGCCAGGTGGTATTTTTGATTCCCAAGCCCACCCTGTTACTTGTTCTTGCTTTTTCCTATTGTGTAGCTGGTTTTGGGAATACGGTATGTGGGACATGAAAGCCTCTGATTTTACGGGTTTTGACATCTTAAGTTGCTGTTTGACCTTTTTTTCTTAGTAACACTTAGCATTCTGCGTGAGTTTCCTTCCACAAAGGTTAGCTTTTAAAAAAGAAGAATCTCTGTGTGTAAATATTAGTCATGTTACTTTGCCATAACTTGACAGTTTTTGTCCAAAGGTATATTATTTAGTAAATTTTTGTTGCATCTGGCAAATAGATCCCAAACTATTTGTGACCCCTCTGGCGTTAGTCTTTTGCTGGATTTAAACAAAAGTGGGAATTCGTTTCATGTTTTATTTTAAAAAGCATAGGGAGAGGTCTAATCTAGGACAGAGAGCATCCCTCTTGGGAAATACCAAAGCACCTACTCTTTTTGTGTATGGAATGTAGGTTTGTTGTAGGAGAATTTAATTTATTAAATGTTTAAGGAACATGTGAGAGTTTGTAAGTTTATTTACTTCTGGCCTTTGTTCTCTAATGGCTCAGTCACACTTGTCTTCTGCACTAGCTCGTATGTACTGGTGAGGATCAAGCATAGACTATCCACTTCTGTACTCCAGCGTTATCCAAAAAACAACTGGTGCTTCTCAAGTCTTATCTTTCAATGGAAAAAAATTGGCGTCTCTGTGTAACTTGGATAGTTAAAATTGTGAGTTGCATTAGATCAAAAGCACAACCATTTTGTATATGTTAATGCAGTTCTTTCTTTCATATCGGTGTGAACCTGAAGTTTATGTTATATACAGTACATGGGAAGGTCTCCTGCTGATGGGGTGTAGTATGGGTAGTGTATGGGGTTCTGTATGTTTAGGACACCTGACACTTGAGACAACTATTATGTCATTTTGTTAAAGGCAGTAAATAGTTAATTTTCTTCCTTTTTGTCTTTCAGTTTAGAATGAATGTAGAATTTTGCATGAAGCATGTTCAATGTGTGATTCAGTCTGAAAATTTAATATAGCTCTAAGATGATTTATTCATTCATTTCTCCTTTGTTTACAGAACGGGCACGGTGGTGTTAGAACACAGGCAACTCTTGACAGTAAGTTTACAAAGCTTGGCTGCGCACAGGACTTTCACATCTCTCCTTACTACTAGCTGTGTGCAGAACTGTAGCAGTGACATCTGGTTCAGTGTTTTATGTTGTTCTCCCTCACTAGTTTTTGGCCGACCCGTTTGAGTTTTTGTACTTGCATGGGATATACCGCTCGCCTCGTGGCTAAACTGAAGTATGAAAGCAGCACTGTTAAATCTGCAGCTGTAAGCAGTCTTAGAGAAGCTACTTCCCTGCTGTTTCTCTTTAACTTCCCTGTCAGAAAGTATTTCATACAAAATAAAAATACAAAAGTAAAATTTAAAATAATATTTCTTGCCAGTTCTTGCAATTCTCAGTCGGGAAGCTGCTTGCGAGTAGCGTTTAGCTGTAGTGACACTGTCATGTTCTTTGTTCCCTCCCAGCGGGTATCCTGCTGCTTGTGCCCGGTTACAAGCCCGTGGCTATGAGGGTGACTAGCATGCTCCCTCTGCTGGTTTCCTTGCTGCCTTGCAGTGGAGTAACAGTAACAGTTACTGGCTCTGATACAGGCATTACTGGTATCTTCACCTTGGCCTGTTTCTAATCTGGTGTTTTACTTGTAGCACCCCTGTACCTCTCTTCCTGGACTTAAAAATCATTGAAATGTAGTATTTGGTCTTCTGACCTTTGTGCCGCTCTGGAAGTTTTCAAGGACAGTAGTGTGAGTTAACATCTCTTGGAATTCCAGCACTTCAATTTTAGGTCTGTCCTCCTCTTAAAGGTGTCTTCAGGCAGGTCATTAGTGGGGCAGCTTTTTATTTTATACTTCTGAGTAGAAAGAAATTGATTATTCAGACCTGTAAACAGTGTTTTGTTAGTGCCAAGTTTAACTTAAATGGGCAAAAGAAGTGTATATGCCCAAAGAGCTAGCTTTTAAAAGATTGTTGTATATAAAGACAACTCTTTGAGTGGAAAACTTTATTACTGTCATGTACAGAACTAATAAACAGTTGATGAAATTCACTAGAGGATTTGTCTTTGTTATGGAACACCAAGATCTGAGAATTCCTAATATTTCTGTGATTATTCTATAACAGCTTTATTAGTCTCTTTTTCTATGCCAGATCTCTTTTGAGAACACTTTTGGTCTTTTTCTGTATCCCAAGTGCATGAACTGGAATGAGTCTTCTTCCACGTATCTATTTCATGCATCCAGACTATTTTGAAATTCTCTTTTAACTTTTGAAAGTGCTGGCCTTTTCCCTTCTCATTGTGCTGATAAAATTCTTAGTTGTTCGTTTCTCATCTTTGCTGTTTTTGTCCTTTAATATCCGGATCTCATGCTTCTAAACCCTTAGATCAAAGCATCTGACCATCCTACTTGTCTCCTCGTTTTCTTTGTCTTGCACATTGTGTTCAGGCAATCTGGTACAGGGTCTTAAAGAAGGTGGTGATTCTATCCCTTGTATTGAGGACATCTGCTTTTATTTCAAGGAGGAAATTTGTGTATTGAGTGTTGTAAATGTTGTTTCCTTATTTTTATATGAATCTTCCCAGGAGGTATCAGGTGATATAGTGCAGCCTTCATAACCATGTTTCCATTTGTCATTTGAATTTCCTTCTCGGTTGTCAGTTTCGCTCATACTTATTGCCAAGGCCAGGACCTTTTGACTCCTGTTTGCGTAGCACCCAGTAGTAACCCAGCCTGGGTCATATAGCAAGGGAACCAAACCAGTAACATGAACAAACAGTGATGCATAACTTCCAGGCATATCTGAGAATTCGGTTTGGTGACCATTCTAAAACTGTCTTCACATGCATTGCAAGTTAGTGATGATACGGGTAGTGGTCTTTGGTGTGGTGTGGAAGCATGGCCCAGCAGAAGGCAGGGCTCAAACTCTGTTTCTGAATTTTATTGGTGGATGAGTGCCTCTAATTATCTTCACAGGACAAGAGATAAGTGTAGAGACAGCTGGAAATTATGTTGGGCAGTAGAGTTATTCAGTGTCTTACTACAGTATAGTGGTCCTTTGGTAAGACACATCTGTGGTAAACAAGTTTTACTCTGAGTAGCCCAAAAAGTAATATCAAAGTTAAACACTTTCTGTTACCTAGGTCACATAAAGTAAGTTGACAACCGTTTAGCCATTAAAAGTGCTTAATGTTGTGCTCAGTTGTGGCCTTTTTTTGTAGCTTCTTTTATTCTACTGCATTACACGTTTGACTGAGTACTCCAAACTGTTAAGTTATGTATGCTTTTGTACTCCAGCAATCTAAGTCTCGATCATCAAAGGTGCTGTCTAAGTTGGAATGAAGAAGCAGAGCTGTAGGTAAAACTAGGTTTATACAGTGCCTTGAAAGACACAGATGACTCTTGTTTGCAGAACCAAATGCAAGGAATTTTAAAATGAGGATTGACTTGCAAGCGAAAGCTAGCAATCCAGGTAGGGAGAGGTGAAGTGCAGGTGACTGTAGTTTACTACATGTGTAGCAGTGAAAATTATAAATCTACTGTAGATGGAGAGTTTGAAGGGGAAAAAATGATAGTTCTGTCACTGTTTGAATTTTCCTTAATAGCCAGATTACTTGATACTATTACTGGTTTTCAATGGTCAGGTTTTTGTAAAACACAGGAAGAACACTGCTGCGTTCCTGAATCCAGGCTGGGATGTCAGGTATGCTGGAATTTGTCTTTGAATGCCTCTCTTTAACTTGTTGCAGCTACTTCATCAGTTCCAGCGCCTAAGACAGAGTCTTCTCCCTCGCTGCCTTCTGCCGGTTCTCTGCCTAGTGTGGTATCCACCACTGCTTCGCTTCTGCCTTCAGCATCGCAGCACGCAGCAGCATTGCCCAGCTTGCCTCAGTCCAGTGATTTGGCCAGCAGCTCGCTTTCCCAGTTGAGCAGGTACAGTAGGAGTTGTGATAAAGTGAAAGGGGTTCAATTCTGGGGAAAGGGCAGATGTAAGGGTGATTGTGTGGGGGGGCGGTCAGAAACCAGAGTCCTCTTTTCTCACATTAACTAGAATTAGGAGAGAAATTCAGAAGAGAACAGGATGTTCTGGTTACAGAGTATAAGCTCTCGGGTGCCTCTTAATGATAGAGCAGCTGCCGTGCTCCAGTTTTCAAGGTGTATAAACAACTTTGTGTTTCAAGGGGCTTTTGCTTCAATCATGCCAGCTAAATTAGCTAAATTGATTCCTCCAGTTTGTTTTTCCTACTTCATCCACAGTGTCTGCTGTTTGTTTAGTGTGTGAAATCCTAGCTAGTTATGAAATATTGTAGTTTTATATATATTTGTATTTCTTGAAGTTAAAACCCAGAAATAATTCCACAAGGAAAGTGTGTGCTTTCTTTTTCTAAGACATCCCCTTAAGACACTTTGAAATATCAGACTGTTGTTCCTGGAAGTGCATTCAGCACAACTTAGCTCATTTGCACCATCTGTCTGATTTTGTCAGTACCTGTTACTTGAGCTTCATCCTCAGTCAAGTGAGATCCTGAGGCTGTACTGGTTGAGTTGTATTTTTAATACTCACCTTTGTGCTGTATTTGTTAATGTAGGAAACTAATTTGATGGGATATCATTGTTTTTTCCTAGCTGTCAGTTTCACAGCTAGGATATGGTTGATTCTCTTTTAATACACTAATCTGTTTTGTTGAATGAAATGGTAACTATATCGCATCACAAGAATTACTACATTCACGTTAGAAATGTCATCTCCTCACAAGTGCTGGTTTAAAAGCTGTGTGCATTTGGTGGAAATTTTAATTGGAGGGTTGATGCTGTTGAGCAGATACCAAGTGCCATGGAAAGATGGTACCCGAATTCCAAGTGTGCCTGACTTGGTTGTGCTGGTGGCTCTTCTCTGTGTCTCTACCATAGGTCAGATGGTGAATTAAGGCTTATTAGAAGAACTGGGGAGAGGGAGCGAAGAAGTGGTTTAAAACTGAATGTTGGACTGAGCTATTTCTTTCCTTGTTGCCTGAAGTGGTGTCATTGTAATTCCTGCAGATGGGGAGTAGTTTTAAAGAATTGAAGTGAAATTAAATCTATGAAACTGCCAAGATTTATTCTGGTCCCACACCTCGAAGAGCTGCCGGAAATGTTTGCCCTTAAATTAAGGCATATAATTTAGCCTGCAGCTTTGTTATGAAAACTGCTCTGTTTTCTTGTGGCTGTTTCTGTAGAGAATATGAAATTATCTGTTATGGCTAGGATCTCTGTTGCTTCTGGTTTCACACGAGTAGGGGCCTGTTGAGCACCAAACCATACGTATTTTTCATGGCCTTGTTTTGTTTGCCTTTATTCAGTGTGTATTCTGTTTGTTCCGAACTGTATTGTAAGTTATGTTCTTGACCTTGAACGTGAGGTGTAACTTTGGTCAGCGTATATATCTAAGAACCAGTTTCAGTCACCTTTCGGGGAGGTATTTAAAGATCTTTGGGTTACAGATTAATGTCGATGCTACTGGTACTGCCGAAAGTTCACAGGCCCAGACAGCAAGGAAGAAAGGTGGTGCTAAAGCAGAGTTGCTTCCTGAAACAAAGTTGTCTGCAGATGTTTTTCAGGAGGGGATTCTCAATTTTCGTGTTTTACAGTGTATGTATAAAACTGAACTGATAGTTCTGATTCATCTTTTCAAAGAGGAAGTGGCTTTTGGTGGGGTGTAGTGGTATGAACTGGCCTTCATGAAATTACCATATTCTGTAGTAGTATGGCTAATTTTGAGGCTTTCACAGGTGCTCTTCATTTGCTGTTTTGAACCCTATCTTTTAAGAGTGTGTTGGGGCTTTTGGCAGAGTTTTAGACCAAATACCCTGCAGTTCGAGTTGGTTGAACTAGTTCTATGCAGATTAAAATGTGAGATATACCATAGTGAGTCAAACCAAAGCACTGCCTCGCCTAACTAATACTTGTGACCAGTGGCAGGCAGCAGCTGTTGCTCAGGGAAAGAAGGATAAACAAGCCATGTGTTGTGTGAACCTACTTCTGATTTTAGACTTTGTGTCTTGGAGTCATTGCTACATAATTCCTGAAGCAACTATTGTTTTATAAAAAACTTAGTAAATTGATAAATACAAATGAATGGTGTTTTAGATGTTTCTTGTTAGTAATAGTTGTCTCTGCACTTCAGTTTTTTTCATTAAAAGGTAATAAGATATTAATTAAAGGAAAAAACGCCTGTAGGAGTGTGTGTATATACACACACACATATATATATATATGTATGGGTGTGTGTATGGCTATATATATGCACACACCCCTACAGGCAATTTGTTTTTAGCTACTCTGTGTGTGTATCTGTTCACACAATTTTTATTCTTTAATACCCTGCTACCTACTTTCTGGTTGTGTGTGTATATATATATTAAAAATAGTTTTGGGAAGAATTGGGTTTATTAATTACTTTCAATTTCTTTCTAGCTCTCTTTCCAATCATCAGAGCAGTCTGTCCCCTGCCTCAGTGTTGTCTTCAAGCACATCACATGCAGTAAGTCTTATTTTCATTTCAACAGATGTTTGGCGTGTGGTCAGTTTACCTGATGATTAAGACCCTCTCAGAGCGCATTGTGTCCCAGTATGCTAAGAACTGAAACAAGAACCTTATCTCAGGGAAGGACTTCCAACCATCTAGTGGTAAAGGAGGTCCTTACCACTTGTGATTTGTGCTAGGTCGGGAATAGCTATTACAGAGACTTGCCAGTCACACAACTGCAGAGGAGATTTTCGTGCCAGCAAGGGGAGATGGAATAAAGAAAGAATTTCTTCTAACAAATGTATTTAAAAAAATAAAATCTTTAGATTTTATTCAGCTGTCTGGAAGTGCTCCAAATGTGGGCTTGTCATGGTTTAGCCCTGCTGGCAATTAACTCCACACAGCCGCTCGCTCACCCTCCCACACCCCCAGGGGATGGGGAAGAGAATTAAAGGGGAAAAGGGAAAGAGACCCGTGGGTCGAGATAAGAAAAATTTAATACTACTGCTACTAATATATCAATATATAGACATGTATGTACAATGGTAGATGTACACAAACGAGTGATGTATGGGATAATTGCTCACCACCCCTTGACCAAGGCCCGTCTCGTCCCGAACTAACGATCCCGAAACAGGTAAGTCCCGACACCGCAATCCCGGATGAGCGAGAGGCCCGAAAACAGAGAGCAGGACAGAGGGAGCACTCCGAGAGTCCGAAAGTGAGAGTCCCGGAAAAGCAAAGGCCCTTCTGTCCGGCTGTCGCTCACTTTTATACTGGGCGTGACGCTACATGATATGAAATACTTATTGGCCAGTTTGGCCCTCCATCCTAAGTCTAAGTACGAATCATAAGGAGAGTCGTGGACCTCCCGTCCCAGCTATTCTCCCCCCTATCCTGTTGTGCTCCTGCACACTGGCAAGAACACGGCACCTGAAAGGTCCTTGAGACCTCAGTGCCAACTACAAACATCAGTGCGCTGTCGGCGTTCTTCTCAGAGCAAGTCTCAGACTAAAACCAAAACACGGAGCTCTTCTGGCTGCTGAAAAGAACAACTAACTCTGTCCCAGCTGAAACCAGGACAGGGCTATTAGCAGTCTCCACTGGAGAGGTTAGCTGGCAAAATGCAGGCGATGGAATGATACATGTCATGAGAAATGCTTCATTCTCACTGATTTCAGAGTTCACCATTTGGTATTGTTGTCACCTGTGTGTTCAGTGCATTTGAGGTAACAAGGCAAACGTTATTGAACGCAGTGCTCTAGATGAGGTTGCACACACAAAAATCAGAGAGACACTGCCTCGTTCTGTGGTGTGGTGCTTCTGTACAGTCCGAGTTGGGGTGTGCAGATAGGTCACTGCTTTTCTTTATGCTTGTGTTTTGGTTTTTAATGCTCCCGCGCTACTCAATATGTAACTTAAAAATTCACAGTTATGCAAATGTTGTTTTCTGTTGTCAGAGTTGTTTTGGCTTCTGTCTGTTGATGACACTGTTTTGCAAGTGTGATCAGCTTACAGCTAAGGCACTGTGTTGTGCTGGATTCAAACCAGGAAATCCTTTATCCTCACTGCTTCTGTAATACACCTGATCTGCGTTTCAGTTTGCCACATTGACTCTGTTGTGGGACACTGCAGTTCTAATCTTTTAAGTTCCGCAAGTGCATTGAGGAAATCACAATAGCAGCGTTCTGTATTTTGAAAACAAATACTGCCTTTTGGAAGAACATAGGAGTTTATTTAACGTAACAAGTACTAGCTTAAAGGAGTATACAAGCAAAGGGCCAGAAGTAATGCAGTGGAGTGACATTTGAGTTACTGTGGTACAGTTTTGTGATGATACAGCGGTTTGAATTTAACTCTTATGTAATAATTTTCTTTGAATACTTAAAAACCACAAGCATGCAACTTAGTTGCTTGCTTGGTAGATAGATAACGCATATCCTTTTCTTTTGCATGTGCTGTTGTTACTTAAAAGATTATTAGTTTTGATTTTTATCCCAGCATCTTTCACTGTGGTTTATTGCTCTGTGATCTTCATTCTTTTTGTCTCCTTTCTAGCACACTAGTGTTGAGAACACATCTTCGCTCCAGCCCTCGACAACCTTTTCAACTGCTTCAACCTCAGCCACTAGCACCACCTCTTCCGTTGTCAGCATGGCAAGCAGTATGAACACTACAAACAGCCTTGGCCTGAGCGTTAGCAGTGTGTCTATACCAGCTGCTACCACACGGGCAGCTCCCTTGGTGTCTTCAGGTTCGCGATATTAACAGATCTCATGGATTAATAGAGGACTTCAGTCAGCAGGGCTGTCAGTTGAGCATCTCACTACGCTAAGACATCCACACTTTTCACTAGCATTTTCAACATGCTTTATTTGCTGGCGTATAAAATAAAGTTGGCTGGTTTTGTGTATTTGAAATATTTGTTAGGGTGTTATGTGGCATTTATATAGTACGTTCCATCCCCAAAGAGCTTTATAAATAGGCACCAGAGCAGTTCTGACTTTGGAAGTTTTAGACTAGGAGATTTGCTCAGTTTGTATTCCAGGCTGTGATCAGCTCTTGGCTGACTTCACATGAGTCTTAATTTCAGTCTTCTCTGTGACTTGAATTCATCTGGCGGTATCAAAATATACTGCAGTGTCCACATTATCGTATGCCACCTCACTACTCCCACATTTACAAAAAAGAAAAAGTGTCTGACGTCTGGGTCATTCCACAGCAAAACAGCACTTCAGAAAAAGGGTCCACAGAGAGAGAAGGTGGGGAGGCCTCTTGCACTGAAGTGCTAAATTCTCTCTTGCTCCTCTAATCAACCTGAACTGCTAAAAGGAAATCTTATGGAGGGAAGTGAATGATTTAAATATTAAGATCAAACTTACTTGCAGAAGGATTTCTCATTTCTCATTCCCGTACCTTGTAAATGAAGTGTCTGTAAAACACTTGTAATGCACCTTGTAAAAAAAGTGCATTTTTTTACTGTGCTGCTTCCTAGCAGCGCTTCATGGAGTTGAACTGAAACTGTTTCAGTCTTCTCCTTGCTATTTTCAACTGCCTTCTCCTTGCTATTTTGAACTGCAATAAGTCACCCACAAAAAGTATGCTGGCAACGTTTAGTGCTTTCGAGACTACTGCTGGCAGTAAGGAGGAATGTGTTAACAGAGCAGAAGATGAAAGGAGAGAATTGCTCTCTCAGATGGAGAGCGATGCCCAAATTTTCTCTTCAGGAGAGGATAGAGGAAAGGAGAAGTTTGTGTAAGTCTTGTAATCCTCTTGGACAAGGTAAATCACAAAATCACGCTGATGGGACTGTTTTCAGTCTTAAGTAGCCTGTGCTTTCCCTTCTTTGAGGCATGGTTAAACTCTTCAGGCTATTTTGAGCGTTTTCAGCAAAAAGCACAAAATTCTTCTGCATAGTTCTGCTCTTTACAAGCTATGACAGTGCAGCTGCCAGGGTGCATGAACTATCTTGTCTCGATGCTGAATCCTTTTCTTTTCTAAAGGCTTAAAGTGTCTGTGTTTTGATTCTACAGGCAAAGCTCCCCCAAACCTGCCCCAAGGTGTACCGCCCTTGTTGCATAACCAGTATATTGTGGGACCTGGAGGACTTCTGCCAGCTTACCCAGTAAGCAGTTTAATTGTTCCTGTCCTTGACTGCTTAACCCTTGGTGCCAGTGGACCCTTCAGACCTGCACTGTCTGTGCCAAGGCATTTCTCTTGGCACGTGTTGCACCTGGAATTCTTGTTCCAAATGCTGGAGAATATGTGAAATATACTCAGTGGGCGTTTACTGTTGGTAGTAAACTGCAGAACTGTTGGTACAGACCTGATCTGGTTGCTGTTGAAGGTAAACGTGCGTGTTGCTATGGTTTTCAGTGGTATCAGGTTTTAGGCCCTTTGAGTAAAATTAGACTCGTTCAGGTTTGTGATCCCACCTGGAATACTGTGTTCAGCTCTGGAGTCCCCAACACAAGAAGGACATGGAGCTACTGGAACGAGTCCAGAGGAGGGCCACGAAGATGATTCGAGGGCTGGAGCACCCCTGCTATGAAGACAGGCTGAGAGAGTTGGGACTGACAGCCTGGAGAAGAGGAGGCTCCGGGGTGATCTTATAGCAGCTTTCCAGTACCTAAAGGGGGCCTCCAGGAAAGCTGGAGAGGGACTTTTTACAAGGGCGTGTAGTGACAGGACAAGGGGCAATGGATTTAAACTGAAAGAGGGGAGATTTAGATTAGATATAAGGAAGAAATTTTTTACATTGAGGGTGGTGAGGCCCTGGAACAGGTTGCCCAGAGAAGTTGTGGATGCCCCATCAAGGCCAGGTTAGATGAGACTTTGGGCAACCTGGTGTAGTGGAGGATTTCTCTGCCCATGTCAGGGGGATTGGAACTAGATGATCTTTAAGGTCCCTTCCAGCCCAAACCATTCTATGATTCTATGATAACTGGAATAGATTTCATAGATTTCATAGATTTTTAGG